CATCTGCTTGCTTCTTACATTACTGTTATTCTTGCTTGGAGGGAAAGTCAAAAGAGATGATACCTGAACCTCAGCAAGGTGCAGAAGTCCAAACGAACAAAAGAAGAGGAGGTGTGAGGCTATATTGTTGCATTTACTTTATTAGTTTGTTTTGGATTAGATTCTTCAGGATGTACCTACTTCTGTCATGTTTGGGATGCTTAGCGAAATAAGGAAGCAAAGAAAAAGCTTCATGGCCCATACCAAGTATCATGAAACTTCATGTAATGCAGCTGTCTGTGCCTGGTTCTAGTACAAAATTACTGAGTAAGGGACGATCAGAGCATTAGTTCCCTGATATTGGACTGGAAACTTCTGTGAGCAATCAGAGAAAAGCTACAAAACTGTGCAAAGATGGAGAATTTATGTTTCCTCCCCTCCAAAGCTTTGGGCAGTGGGCCTGCTCTCTTCTAGTGCATCTCTGCTGGGTGTTACTGCAGAGAGGGAAGAAACACAACCTTTCCTTTTTTGCATCAGTAAGGCTGACTCCTTACTTACTGGTGCCCTGTGTACAGATAGCCAAGCACAAAAAGGTGCATGAACTTTCCTCTCCTATCTGTAAAATAATTTCTTTAGAAATGCAAAGAATTCGAGCCCTAGCAGTGTTTCTGATTAATACCTGCTTCAAATCTTTGAAACATTTGTTTTGTGACAAAAGATTAATCACAGTAGATTATCACTTCTAAATGTCTTTGGTTTATATTTTGTTGCTGAAAATTGCATGTATTTAAAAAACAATGAATATCTCTTCCTAGGAATGTACATACTGACTTCATCTGTCTTCTTGTATGAGCTTGCTACATGTTGCCAAGTCCTATGGAATTATTTCCAGTCTGTTTGAATGTTTTTTTCCCGTTATTCAAGTATAAGCACAATGTCAAATCAAAGCTGTGGTATGAAATGTGTTTTGCTGGGAAATGACCATGGTGAATTCGATGCTGTGCTGGTTACTTGCTGTATTTCAAGCTATATTTGATCTTGGGGGTGGAAGAGAAAACCACAGTGTGCAGGCTGGTGGCTGCTCCGTTGCTAATTCATTGGCAGTTTTGGGGAAAAAATATCTGCATTTTCTCTTTATTTTTTTAGGCCAGATATTAGCATGAAATATGGTTCTAACTATTTCAACAAGAGTTCAGTGTAAAATTTAATTCCTTGGAGCTTTGTTTATCATTCAGAGCCATAACTAAGTCTTTTAACTCCTGCAAATAATAATAAAGAGTAATAGGTAAAAAGCCACTGCTCCTTTAAATCAGTATCACCAGTGACTCAGAATATCTATTGATTTTTTTTCTTCATTCCTACCAGCAGTTTAGTTTAAGATTCAGCAGGTCCACTCTGAGAAAATTCTGCATAAAGCACTGCCAGATATTCTTGGTTTTAAAATTCTGTTTAAGAAATTTTAAATAATTAAAAGTAATCATCTCTAACATGTTAAAACATCTATCTAAAAGGCTAGTACAATTCCCAGTTTATAGCTTTTGTTATGTATTTTTGTGTATAATTACTGGAATGTATAAATTTATATATTTAATAAAAAATTTTTAGACAACACCTATGCATATTTTAAAAGTCAGTTATATTCCCCCAGACATACTACTCTCTGAATATAGCAGAATTGCAGCATGATTTTGAAAAAAACCCAAACAACCATGCTGTATTTTCCCTGCAGATAGTGTCTGTATCAACAAATCATCTGGACAAAATGATTATGGGCTGTTTGTCTTTATCCTTTGTAATGCACTAAGCAAATTTCAGTGCTTCATCTCCACGTGAACCACTTGCTAATTTGATGTTTATACCATGTTTGTCAGTCCCTTTATTCATGTGTTTTTGTGAGGCCAATTCCGGATGTGCATCAGCTATTATTCCACCTGGAAGCCAAGCCCAGTGGAAGGAAGGTAAAGGAAGGTAACCTGAGGCTCTGTGAAATCGTGAAAGCTGCAGAAAAATAAATGGGAAGGGCAGCCATCAGGGAGAAGAGCAAGATGCATGTGTAGAATAAAAGCTATTAATAAAAAGCTTTGCCTCCTGAGTCACCATGCTTCCCATACAAATTTCCATATTGGCATGTGGCCACTGCTGTAATTGTTTGCATTAAAAAGTAGTATCAGGAATGTAGTGTATTTTTAGCTCTCACTACAGCAGTAGAAACAAAAAAAAAAGGTTAGCATTTTACTGTAAGCCAGTTTTCTAAAGATCATCTGAGATCTGTGAAATGTGTCTTTGTAATTTGGAAACCTTTGGCAAGAAATATCAAAGTACAACACAAATATCTCTGAAATTCCAGAGACTTCATTTGTAGCTGATATATTTGTTACTTGCTGTGTATAGATCTTTCTGAAGTCTTCTGCCATTTCACAAACAAGCTTAGATGATCCCTCTCCATTTTCACTTGGTTGGCTTTCATTCTGTTTCCTAAGCAGGCAGTAAGTTTTTCTTTGTTTTTAAGATTATGTGCCGGAGGACTTTACTTGTTAAATGTACCTTCACTTCCATCAGCCTTTGGAGGAAGGCCTCTGAGAAGTGTATTAGCTCTCTTACACATTTGGTTTTCAACTGGTTTGGAAATTGAGAGGTTAACATAAAAGAGCTGAAATGCATATCCTGCATGGGTAGTGAAAAATATTAAGAAATAAATTGCTAGTGTACTTTTGTGCAAAGAACGACTAATTTGAGGAAGCCACACTGAATGGGGGTTGAAATTTCTTCTATTGTAATTTTAAAATGCCAGATCAGGAAGAGGCCTTGAACTTGAGTGGTGTCTAAAGTCCATGGCTGACAATTCATCATTGAGGAGTTCTTTGGCTGTGTACCTGAAGAAATAGAGATATTGTTAATTTACATTGTAAAGAGTAATGGATATAAAGGCCAGTGCAAGCAGGATTAATCATGAAGATAGGTCACTGCTGAATGTCTGGCGCTGCCTGAAAATGTGACACCATCTGATGTATTTAAGTGTTGTTAGGACCCTGTGCTGTAGCTGTTATGAGAAGGACACTGGAGCTACATTGCAAATCAAATAACTTAATCTGGTGCACATGAAGTTGGTGCAGTGGCCTTGGAGGGGAAGAGGGTGACAAGAATTCCCAGTTTGTCTCTAGGAGCCCCTGTCTCATGAAACAGAGCAGTATCAGTAAATGGGGTGAGCAGGAAATCTCCTTTATGGAGGAAAAATGGGGGGAGAAGTGATATGAAAAATAGCTAGAATACAGGAGAGGAAGAACTGGAAAACTCCCCAGATCAAACCAATCGGAACATGATGAACTGGAAAAAAATAAAAGAATTAGAGCCAAACTATGTAAAAATTAAAGCTAAAATATTTTAAAATTTAAAAAGTCAGTGAGACCAAAAAGAAAAATATTAAGCAATGGAGAAGTAGAGAAAAATATAGATTTGTAGAAAAGATAGTGATTTAGTTTTGGTCTCTGCCTTTTGTGAAACATGAGTTTAGAAGATCTTTGGTAACGTGATAAAGAAAATCTTTAAAATCATTTAGTTAGATTGAAGGCCAAAAGATAAACTCTTGTGATAAGCAAAAAATGTTCACTGTGCATTTACCTTCCAATTGATTTTCCTTCTTCCTTTTGCAGACTTGTCTTTTTTTCTGTAATTTTAACTACTCTTAAGCAATCATTGCCTCATATTCTAAATTTTTATGTTATAAAGATTTGAGAGGAAGCAAGTTTATCTATGTATGAGAAAAAACTGCCCCCACCTACTGTCCAGCAATACCAGCTATGAGGGATGATTTTCTTCCTTTCAAGTTGCTGCAACTAGAGAATTTTTTTTCTTTATTTAATACTTCTTTCAAATGTAATTTATTTAGGTTGTTCAGATGTTAACTCAGAAACATGCTGAATTTAAATTCTATCTTTTAGGGTGTAAATGATATCTTTACAAAAATAAATCAGCGATCTCAAACATTTACAGTTGTTTCTAAAGATCTGTCAGTTTTATAATTTGTATGTTTTACACTAGAAAACATGCAGTTATTATTTGCATTAATGTCACCATATTTTTGTTTGGAAAGAAGCAAGCATCACTGTGCATTTATTGGGCTGTGTTATACTATATTTAGTGGAAATTGACTCCTCTGCCTACAAGATGCACCTTTGGAAACAAAACTGCTTCACAGATCAAAATCAGATCACATCAGATGTGCCATAAAGCCATTGTGTCTGAAAGGCCGTTGTCCTGTGCTTTTCTAGAGCTTGGTTTCTTGCCTCTTCATTTCAAGTAGAAATTCTTGAGTGCTAAATCTGAATTAAATGGAACATTCCCTCTACATCAACATACAGAAGCTTTCAATTACATAGGGATGAGCTTGACAAGATATCAACCAGTGACCTTCTGAGAGTCTTTCCCAAAGAAAATTGAAGGTCACCTATTGTTATCTGTGTGATAGAGAATTAATTGCACATTGATTTGAAGCTGGGTAGGTTTTTCTGTCTTCATGTCTTTATAATGCCCTTAAAACCATTATTTGCACTCTCTTACTGTAGTGTAATGCCAAAGGAAAGGTCACAGAAATTTATGTTTTTACATTTCAATATCTAAGAGAAGATTGGTTATCGGTTAGCAGAGGAAAAAAGCTTTTTTCATGCCTCAGCCAGGTAAGCTGTGAGATTCTGCATTCATTTGGGTTGGGTTTGATCTTTTTTAAGAGCAAGGGCTTTTTTTCAATCTGGGCATTAGGCTTTTGCAGTGAAATTTGCATTCAAGGTTTGGTTTTAGTAACTTCTCTTCAGCTGTTTGATTTTTAGCATTTCAGTATCTTCTGCATTTCAGTGTCCTTTAGCAAAAATAGAGTAGGAAGTACTTAATCCAGAAGAGTGCATCTGTTTTGCCTTATAGATTGTTTGCAGCTGACCCTTAATAATGGCTGGTTCATAATTGCAGATTTTTAGAATTGACTTTGACTGTGTGCTTGTCTAAATTTATTCTTGTTTTCTTTTTTGTAGATTACAGATAGAAGAATCTTCTAAACCTGTAAGGTTATCACAGCAGCTGGACAAAGCTGTAACCACAAACTATAAACCAGTGGCTAATCATCAGTATAATGTAAGTAGTTTTTAGTATTTTCCCTTCTTTTCTTCAGGAAGAATTTGGCTTAGGACTCCAGGACTGCTCTGCTGCTGTCCAGCAGGTCTTTTGCTCACATTTGGCCACTGTCTTTGTCAATGCTCTATGTCACCTGATTTCTCCTTGATATTGTTTTCTGGGGATCTTCTTTGTGTCTCAAGACCAGTATCACCCTTGGGGCTAAGGTCTGCCAGTCCTAACTGTCTTGTGTTATCTGATGGAGGGCAGACCACCTTCACCCAACCCTTTTTGGTGGCTTTATTACATTCTTCCTCTAATAAGTTTTTAAATGTAATTTTGACATTTGTGGATGAAAGGCACTTCTGGCTTTGTGCTGTGAGATGCGGAAACGCTCTTTTGAGCCAAATAACTTATCATCTGCAGGAGGGTAAAGGACTTGAAAAGAGTCATTAGTATCCAGTCCTTTGGAGGAATTGGCAACAAGTAGAAAAGAGTAACAGCTGATAATTTTTCTCAGTTTCCTACCTTCACAGTACATGTTATTGGCATCATTGGCTTTGTCAATATTACACCCACACTGCTGTTCCAGATCGGTTGATGTACATATAAACTAACGTCCTTTTCCTTAAAGATACTCTTTGAGTATGTTGAATGTGAGGAACATTAAGTCATACTGAAAATGAATCACTGTGTTAGTCATTTAAACTTTTACACTTTTTATTAAGATTTTATTTACATAAAACAAGTGACAATATACTGGATGATATTTAAGCATTATTATGAAAGTCAGTCTATTGCCACAGAACCAGGAATAATAATTTCTCTCTCATGGGTCTGTTTTGTAGTAGTTACTGTTCAAAGTCTGCTCTGTATGTGGATGATCATACCAATATAACTGTTGCATTTCAGGGAATGCCATTTAACCAAAACAGTCACACTGATGTATCCTACTATGCAGATGCAGTTTTACATCAGTATATTGTTTTATGATGCTGCTGGTGTTCTTTAATTCTGGAATAAGCTTTGGTGGGGTACAGCTTCTCTTCCAGTGGGATGCTGTTCCATTTCCCTGACACCAGCATAATTATGGCGTGACTACTTTCTACAAAATCTTTCTTTTCATTAAGTCTTTCATTAAGGTTCAGGTTAGATAGCTGAAAGCGTATATAACTGGGAGAAAAGGTCCATGAACTTCTAAAACCGCTTGGTTGAATTTTTCTGCTCTTTTCAAGCAGCAACCTGCTGCATTGCATGTAATCGTATGGGTGCTGTGTTGGAAACAGACTGAGCTTTCACAAGAAAGAAATAAAAATGTACAATCTGTCATATATGTTAATATAGCCATCATCTGGGTAGTTTCTGAGGGAAGAATGAGTATCTACTAAGTAAGAGTTAATATTTGTTGAAGGAAAGAATATAAAATGGGACTTAAGTGTGGCTGCTTCATGTACCTATAAATGAAAATACAGCAGGAAGGAGGAGGGAAATAAATTACATGTGGATGTGGAATAGCAATAGTTTCTTTGAATTCAAGGACTGGGAAAAGTGATTAGGTTATTTTTGCAAGAAATTATATTACACCTAATTATTTTTTTTTTAAGAAACTGAAATTCCATTACAATATATGCTAAGGTTGTAACTTAGCATTTCTTCTCTGGGGAAAAGACCTCCATTGTATCTCTAAATATTAAATATGTTTACAAAGTTGCAAGGTTAATATTCTTGAATTCATATCCTGGAACCTTTCTGTGACTTAATTACTTTTCATAATACAGCAGAAAGGTTCTTCACTGGTTCTGGCTACCCCTTCAGAGGCTTCTTTGAGTGGTTTCTTTGTGGTCCTTTCTTCCCAATGTCCTGTACAATAGAGGTCCTGTACCCATGCTCCAGGAGACAAGAAAACCTTTAGGACTACTTTAAAGCGTCTTTAGGTGAAACTTCAGATTTATTCCAACTTCTCTATCACTTTTCTATTCGCTGTTTACCAAAGCAGTTACATCAGCTTCAGCATTAATGATACTTTCAAGAAGGCGATTTTGGCAGCTTTTCAGCAAGCTTAGCAACATCCTGGGAAGGTAAACAAAGAGAAATTGATTTCAGTATAAAGTCTTCTGGGGATAAACTCACAACTTCTATGCTAAACAGCTTGTTCTAAAATGGCCCTTCCTTGAAATCAAATAGTATTTGAAAGTTTTTTAAATTAAAAAACCACACAACTTTAAAGACATCTAAGACATCTAGTTTACAGTGTAGGTGCATTACATGATTATTAAAAAGTGCTTTAAGCCTACTACATAGAAGATCCAGTTTGCAAAGAAAACAGGAAGGAAAAAAGTGAAAGGCTGCATTGTAACTTGCTGTGAGCAGTGTATTCACAAGGCCAAAAAGAAGAAATCAGCAACATAAGACACCAGGCTTTTTTTTTTTAAGCAATTTTTAATGTACACTTCTATCAGAGAACAGTGGAAACTGTTGCAGAAGTTAGAGGAAAATGCTAGAGTATTGTTAATTAGAGAGTGGGCAACTGGGGCACCAGCAGCTAATAACTTTTCAATAAAGGGAGGGTTTGATATCCAGTTTTTTATGTGAGTTGATTTTATACATTGATTAAGTGTATTAGAATAGTCACATGGAATTTTTAAAATTGTCTGTTGGACTTCCAGAAGAAGCAAATGTTTTGACATGCTATTGTTTAAAGGAAGGCCAGTGTCATAGATTTATGTTTCTCTTCTCGTGTCTGTGGTGCAGCAGTTCTGCTGTGGATCCTGGCAGCCATGATGATGTACTGTCAGGCTGGTTTGCTTGGTGTTACAGTTTGCTATGTTGCACAGCTATTACTGTTTTGAAGATTTATTCTTCTTTAAGTGGACTGGCTAAAGAGTTAAATAATTACACTAAACTGTGTTACTGAATAAAAATCAATTACATGATGGTTTTGTGTGGTGAGATTGTAGCTTTTATAACACTGCATGGAGTTAGAAAAACAGACAAGTATTTAGTTGTGCACACTCAGTTTAAAGCAGAAGTAAGAGACTTCAAGCTACAGGTTGCGAACAATTGCTCTGCATCCAGTTTAATGATGTACATCCATTTCAGAATGTGAAGAAGGTAGTTGGCTGGCTGGAGACCTGGGAGCCACAGCAAAGGTGGCAATAGTCTTTAGCCACTTCGGTACAGCTACCAAGAGACAGGCTATTTTCACTCTGGGAGTAGGAGGGAGTTAGCTGGCAAGGATACATAGGAAAAAATTAATTGGGCCCTAAAACCAATCTTTCTTCTTAAAAATAAGATCTTTACTATCTAGTAGATCTGTGCATTTTCATTTCTAGGCTTTTCATTTACAGCCAGGCACGTGTCCCTTATTGATCACATGCATCTTTTCTGCTGTACATTGTGCCGCTATGGATTCACCCACGCAGTTTGTCTGAAAGCACTTGATGATTACATGACTTACACTACCTTCTGGATCACTTCTGTTGGTTCCAAGGAGCTGGCTGGTTTTCTGTTCCAGGGTGGTATTGGGAGTGGGTGGGGTGATGTGCTGGCAGGTGGCGTGGTTGGTGCTCTCTGGTGACTGGGGTTTGTTTGGGGTGTGCTGGTCTGTGCTTCTGATGATGAATCAGAGGAAGTATTTTTGGAGGCGATAAAAGTTTCTGTGAAAACATATAGTCATCTGGTGCAGATTATAATGGTTAAGTAATTTTTGATGTACAGTTTGAAGTAGGATGATGTGTGGCTGCAAGGGGCCTCTGCCTGCTTAGAAGGTTTGGTTTTCTGGGACTAGTGCAACTTCATGTGCGCTACTCTGGCTTTTCCTGAAGAGAAATCATCCAGATCCTCAAAGTGTGTCTTTGAAGATTGGTTGTATATTGATGGAGCTGATGCCTTGAGTGCTGCTTCTGGAGAAAATGAGGCAATGTCCAAGGGCCATTGGGAATATTCTTTGGGCAGGTGCCTGTTATGATTGCGGATGTAGCCGTGTTAGTCTGTGTGGATTTTCCCGAGCATGGCAGTTTGGAGGTTGTTTGACATCTGTCATTGTACCTCAGAAGCTGGTACCAACAGAGGTGGAATGAGAATACCATGTCAGTTTGGATTCTTGTATTTTTATTAGGGGTTTTTTCTGTGTTTGGGCACCTGCAGGCTCTATTTCTGCTGCCTTTTTTTTTCTTTTTTCCCTGATTAAAACAGATCCATCTGAGAAGTTTATTGTGCTGAGGACAAAATGCTTAGTTTACGTTCATAAAAGAATATTTGAATGTTCAAAAGAAAACTTTCCAGATGAAAAGCACTCAGTCATTGAACAGTGTTTTGTTAAATAGAAAAGGTTTTTTGTAGCTTAATGGTCAGCACTGAGAATTATACAGCATTACATATGAATGTCTTTAAAACATGTTTTGTAACAGATTGAATATGAGAAGAAGAAGAAAGAAGATGGAAAAAGAGCTCGAGCTGATAAACAACAAGTGTTGGACATGCTTTTCTCAGCCTTTGAGAAACATCAGTATTACAACATTAAAGACCTGGTGGACATAACCAAACAGCCAGTGGTATGTATTGCAAGTCTTGTAAATACAACCATTTTCAGTAGTTACTACTGTGTGTATTTTACATATCTAGAAAATAGTTTAGTATATATTCCGTAGAAACTCCTCTCTAAATATGTTTTACAACAAACTGAAATCACCAAGTTTTATGTTCAGCATTGTAGGACAGTATAGGATACCAAACTTTGTAGTGAGTGTGCTTTTTCTTGACAGAGATGGTTTGAATAACCTAAATGGTCTTTTTTATTTAGGTTTGCTTTAATACTAGGAACCAAATTCTGTAATGCTCTCATGTCTCCCCTGCTACTCCTGTCCTCACTGAAGCCTAGTTCTCTTGGCAGCTGTGAGCTTGTGTTTGTCTATGGTCAGCCCTTCCCTCAGCTCCTGAACTTTATTTTGGCACAGGGGTTGCTTTTTTTCTGTATTTCATGGAATTTGTATTAAATGAAAGGATTGTGCATATTAGAAGCTCAGGCATCATGAGCTCAGGCTCAATGCCTCCAAAATCACTGGATTTCCTTTACAAATAGGGTAATTTTTAGGTTAAGAGTTTAGGTGGTTGATATTTAGGAATTATTTGGGGGTTTCTTTTAAACAGTGTTTTGATACACAGACAAGAAAAGCAGCAAGACATCTGCATATGTGATGGGTTTTGTTGTCTTGCAGTGTCTGTCAGCCTCTTCATGTATGAACCATAACTTTACAGTTCTCTCCCTTCTTTCTGTGTTCAAACTTTCCTTGAGCAGACCAGGCAAGAGTGGGAGGGTGACAGTGACGTGCAAAGGACCTTCAGTGTTCTTGATGTTTTTCACTGCCAACTTCAATATCTATCCTCAACCCAGCTGCAGATTTCAGAAGACTTAAGGGGACTTAATTGAGTCTAAATGGAGCAACAATGTCACAGGTTGTTAGAGCTAAGGCAGAAGAAAGAACAGTAACAGCTGGATTATGGAAAAATACTCTGTAAAAAAAAAAAAAAAAAAAAAAGGGGCAAAAACTCTGTAAAAAAAAAAAAAAAAAAAAAAGGGCCAGAAATGAAGATGCTTACTAGTTTTGCTCACTTCACATTTAGAATGAAGTGTATCTCTCTCAGAGCCTTTGTATAAGTGAACAATCTGTTTGGTTAGATGCTGCACGAAGATGTTGCCCAAGTAAAATCCATGTAGGTTCACTGTGTTCTAGTGCCTTCAAAGAAACTTGAAAGTTGAGTAACATATCCATGTCTTCCATTCATTTATCTCATGAGTCAGCTCCATAGCTCTGCGGCAGAGAAGGTGTGTGGGTCATGGGAGATGAGGAGGAAGGAATAGGAGGAAGGTATGGAGGAAGTGGCAAGAAAATTTTAAGTGGGTTTTATTTTTGGTAAGAGACGTGTGGCAGTCACTATCTCGATCACTTTGAATGGAAGTCGGTACAGATTTATCTCATCTACCATGACATCAGCTTGCAGTAGTCACCCACGACTCCCTCTTAAGCCACTGGAGAACTTGAAGTTACAAATAAATAAAGGTACTTTTCTTATGTAATGGTAAATGTAAATAGTAAATTAAACCCTTGCTAAAGAATATGTTGCATGTTACACAAGAAGTTGCTGCCATCTTTATTTGTGTCATGAAATCGCAAAACAAGTCTTTTCTGAATGTAAATTACTGCTATATTAGGGAAACCTGGATTTATTCGTTTTTCACTCTAATGCAAAATAACAATTTGCAGTAATAGGCAAATCTTTCTGCCTACACAGATGTAAGTACTGAATGCTCCCTGGAAATATTGCAGTAATTCCAGACTTGGGTTTCATGGCTGAGAGCATAATACTGTCTGTGAGGAATCAAATATTTGTGAAGAATGGAAGCAGGATGGAGCCAGTGGCCTAAGAACTGTATTTTTTAAAAAATTCAGTAGATTGTTTGGATTTTTTTCTTCTATTTTAGCTTTAAGTAGTGGTTATCCTAAATACAACAGGGTTTGTTTCCCCCTTAAAGTTTCAGAAGAATTTTTAGAGCTTGTAAGTTAACTCCTCAGAAATTTTTATCCCATAATTCCATGATAACATTTCACTTTATATGGAAAAATATCATGAGGAAAAGTAGAACAGAGCAGAAGAGCTTTAAATATATGAACAGATCACCTACAGATGAGTTTCTGCCCTAGAATTATATGTACATAAACACACTGGATCCCTTTCTGAGAAAAAATTTTGGCCCCCTGATTAGCAATCATCAGGCTCTAAAATTCAGTATTTGCCATCACTGGGAGTAGTGTGGGGTTTCTCTCCATGGTACAGTGTCAGAGCTGTACTATAGTTCAAGATACATAGGCCAGCCTGGTGCAGTGCAGACCCAGGTGGGTTTCTGGAAGAAGAATTTATCCTGCAGGAAAAATCATAGCATCCCCTGAACTCAGCTCTTCACGCCACTTGTTCTCAGGGACAGCACAGCACAGTGGGATTATCTATGTTTCATAATTGTCTAAAAACTCCAGCAGTTCCGTGTTGTCTGTGCACACACAGTGATGTTTTGGGATTAATGCTCTCAGCTGCCCTCCCTAACACCTCTCCTGCCTGGTTGCCCCCTGCAGCAGAGATGGGAAGTGGCAAATCCTCAGCTGCTGCAGTGCATGGTTGCAGCTTGAAGTTCTGTTATCTGAGTCACAGACCTTACCTTGCTGTTCCGTTTGGGCTGGTTTTGTTCCATTTTGTTACACTCTTGGAAGTTTTGCCCTGAGAGAAGCAGAACTGCCTGGGTAATTAGGTCTGAAAAGTAGTTAAAATTAAAAATAGCCTTCATGTAGCAGCGTGGGTGAGTTTGGATGGGTGCTATGGAAAGTTCAGCCATAGTGGTTTTGCTCTGCCCGAGCCCAGCTGCAGCATCACAGCCTGTGACCCAGCTTCTCAGGCAGACTGATCTGCCAGCTCGAGAACTGCACATCAGTGTACCTCATGGCACTGAGTGCAGTTATGGGGGATTTTTTCCAGTTCTCTGTCCATGTGATCTAGAGCAGAATTTAACCTTGCAGCCAGGTGTTTCTCCTGCCCACTCTGCCTTGCTCTGAAGTGTCTGTCGGTGACACTGCCTCGTGTGCAGGGATTGCAAAGCAGGCAGTGGGTATGCAGGGGTGCCCATGCAGAACCTGCACACACCCGTGCAGAAATGGCTGTTCCACCTGCTCCCAGCCCTTTTACACCGCTGCCGTCGCGAGCCTGTGTCCCGGGTACCTGAGAGGAACAATGACGGCATCTCTGCACAGATGAGGTGTGCGAGGGGACGTCGGTGATCTCCTGCTGCCACCTGCTGGGGTTTGCATCCTGCGCCCCAGAAGGCTGAGGAGCCATCCCTGCACAGCGAACTCCCTGCTCCTGTGCCCAGCTGCTCTGCTCAAAGGAAACACCCTGGAAGACCCTAAGAAGCTGGTTCATATGCACATCCCTGACAGTCACCTTTCTTATGTGTTGGGTTGCTTTGCATACTTTTGATGTGTACCTGGAGAGGGAGAGTAAGGATAAGTTTTACTAAAATTCACTTATTTTACTGAGAACATATTTTTGTTCATGTATTTTCTAGCTTTTCCATTTAGCAAAGAGGGAAGGAATGTAAGGAACACATAGACAATCAGCCTTTCTTATTTTCCTGTGTCTTCAACGTGTATTTTTGGGTTTAATAGCTTGGAGTACGTTGATATTTAGTGGAACTGCAGATGCAGAAAATACAAGCATTCCAACAACTCCAGTTTAATATAAGCACTCCAACAGGATTAAATTGTTCAAACTTGAGCAATTATGAATTTAATGTGGGGATTCTTAAACTGTGGTTTGTAGTTGCCATGACAATCCACTCATCTCAGTCCCAATTAATAATTAAACAAACAAGCAGGCTCTTGTGACTCTTAAGAAAATTACTGGTGTTTATTATAAAGAGAGAAGGAGGACAATATCAGTGAGTTGTGTTTTGTCAAAGATTATTATACTACTAGCATAATAGCTCTACTTGTTTTGGGTTTTTTCTTTCTCTTCCAAGCCTTAATATTTTCTCAGACATACACTCAGCTCTCCTCTAAAAATGAGGCCATAATAAAATGCTTAAAGCTTTGCAAAATGGCATGAAAACCAACAGCTTGAGGCTTTGACAAAGTCTGAATAAGGCAAGGATTTTCAAGATAATCCCAGCCCAAGCAGGAAGAAAGGTCAAGAGCTTTTAGCTCAATTGGAGGAATTCCAGCAGGAGGAAGATGTGTGACATAATAGTTCCCAAGAGGTGCTGGTGACTTCATTTCAGCAGCCCCTGGAGTACTTGCTTCTCAGAGGGACGGCCTGGGAGCCATCACTTCTGGGGCTCCGTGCTCCCTGCTGCATCCCTGGGGCTTGCACTAATCCCTGCTGGTGCCTGAGGGTCGAAGTCTATCCCAGAGTCCTTCCCACACCAGTTAGTGCCCATCAGCCAGCCAGGCTGTCTGCCCCTTAGGAACTGAGTCCATGCAGCTGAGCAGGTGTGCAGGAACTGTGGCAATTGCCTGTCTGTTTAATTTGAACTTTTGTTTCCTTTCAGATATACTTGAAAGAAATTTTGAGAGAAATAGGCATCTACAATGTGAAGGGGACCCACAAAAACACATGGGAGCTGAAGCCAGAATACAGACATTACCAAGGAGAAGAAAAGAGTGATTAACTAAAATATTTATGATGAAAGAGTGATTGCACTGAGGGATCTGTGGTATTTACAGACAGGACTGAGCACAGTGCAATTCTGCAAGGATAAAAATAAATTAAAGCAGCTGATACTTTGTAATTTTCTGTAGCTTTTTTCCCCCAAGGAATATTTCTTGTATGTTTCTATATATGCTTTGTCTTTTGACAGGAAAAGTTTATAGAATAAACTTGTATTAGATTTATCTTTATTAGAAATCTTCTGAGTTCTCCTCTTACTTTTTCTTGGTAGCTTTGTGGCTTTTCCAAGTCTCGATAACTTTGATGGAAAATGTGTCTTAGAGGAAACCATAACTTTGTGGGTTTGCATTCCAGTGTAACCAGGTTAATACCCTTGGTTCTGCTGGCATCTTTCAGGGCTTTGTCTGGAAGCCTGCAAATGTGCACAACTCTTTGTGCACTGTTTGTGTGGAATGGACATGACACTCCTCCTAGTATCAGGCTTTAGGAAGAGCAGCCACAACCATGGTGCTCATCACAATCCTTAGATTCCCTGGGAACAAACCAATGCAGCTAAAAATTCATAGTCAGTGGGAAGATGTCAGTCCCCTCCATGTGATTACTGAGAAAAAAATGTCTGTTAGGTACAGCAAGGAACAGTTTTTTGTTTGGTTTGGTTTTTATGCTGATACCTATGTTCTGTTTAAGCATATCAATAAAAGTATTATTTTAATTTGTACCACCCAATATTGACTTGAACACGCTGTGATTTAGGTGGCATCAGTCTGAAGTGTTTTTTCAAAGCATGCTTTTATGGCTTTGCCACTGGGTTCCTCTGTGGTTTGGGGAAGATTGCTAAATGTGTCTGTGTCTCTGTTCCCCCATTTTTGAAATGCACACTGCAAGGGTTATTCCTTCAACATCCTTTTTAGGAGGGAGCAGGGAAGGGACTAGTTAATTATATTCTCAAAGCTTTTATGTTAAAGAAAGAGCAAAAAACACAGAGTGGGGCTAACCTCATTATTATACCTGTAGATTAAGCAGGTGAGGTTTGATAGCTCAGCTTTCACATTCTCTCATGGTGTATGCATGAGAATGCAGACTCTCACACTCCTTCAGGTGTATGCATCATTTCTGCTCACCCTAATGACACAGGAGGTCTGTGTGAGAAGCAAACATTCCATTATTGGTCCACGTGGAAGCAATGAAAGGCTTGGGAGTGGTCAAGTGCTTTCAGAGGTTTGTAAAACAACTCTTATACATAAGTCACACAGTTTTGCTCAGTTAATTTTTTTCTAGAGTTGTTTGTGTAGGTATCTCTCTACAGTTACACTTGGGGCTAGTGCTCAGCGTCCTGTGGCATTAAGTGCCCAGTTCCCAGGAGAGGGACTGCTGAGGTTGAAGAGCAGATCACATTCCAGGGGGGTGTGTGCTTTCATAAATACTGCCACGGACTCGTGTCTCCTCAGGCTCTACAGCAGGACCCAGCTGGCAGATGGCTGCAGGAGCCATCTGAGGATGCTGAGAGGAACGCAGGAAGTCAGCCTTTGTGTCTTGCTGTGGAACACCATGTGCTCCCGGGCAGTAGCCAGGGCCTGCTCACACTGCTGTCCTCGTCGTACTGCTCGAGTCCTCTGTGGACTTGTGCTCAGGGATGTGTAGGATGAGAGCTCTTGCCTTTGATGAGCTGGGCTCTTCTGTGGGATGCGTGTTCTATTTCAGCAGGTGAAGCTGAAGCACCCAGAAAGTCTAGGTAAGCTTCTCCCTTGTATTCCCCCTCATATGGCCCTCTAAAACCATGCAGGGGGATGCATGCAATCCTGATTAAGTAGTGGTGTAATTCCTTACCACAGGTAAAAATGACTGTGACATTCCAGAGGGAAATGGTTACCTTGAGTGGAATCCCCAGCAGGATTAGTTTAGCAGGAAAGTTTTGGATCTGCTTGTATTTCTGGTTTTATGTGAGCTGCTTCAGTTTGTCTTCAGTCGAGAGGGACATAGTCAGCATGAAATGCCTGAACATGTAAGGAGGTATTTTATTGATCTGCAGAGTGCCTTTGGACAGGGTGAATAAGCTCTGCTCAGGAGTAATGCAAAGTGTGCAGAGCACTCCGTTTTTTATGGGGTTTATGGTCTTTGCAAAGGGCTGATTTTTTTTTATGGGTATCATTAAAACATGCAGAGTGCTAGAAGTAAACAGAAAGAAGAAGCAGTGGCATTTTTAACCAGCGAGCAACTAGAACAGCTGAGGAATGCCAAGGTGTACTGGTTTGCTTTCAGCCTTCTGTGAAGTAACACTAGTTACAAATAATGAGGAGCAGGACAGTGAGGAAACACCATTTCAAAAATGGAAATGCTGTATCAGAGTAAACTAAGAAAAGATAACCAGTGGAGAGTCCAGAAGCCAGATAGCTTGTGAGCTACTTTTTTACCTGCTTTCTGCATGATTTTGAAGTTTTTCTAGCATGTTAGGGTGTCATTGGAATTTTAGCTTCAAAAGCTGCCACAAAATCCAAGTGGCATGAGAGTAGGTAACAATGAGCCCACAGAAATGCTGATCTAGAGCATGAAAGATGCTCTCCTGTCTGGCAGCAGGACCTGTGCTGTGCATTCAAGGGCTCTGCTGGCTCCTGCCTGGTGGAGCACATGGTAAAGATGAAGGTGGAGTTTTTAGGTGCCCTTAGCAGGTCAACATCCAACCTGCAGCTAAGCCATGGGATCTTACAGTACAAACCATTGTAGACAGAAGCAGCAAGATAAACATGCTGCTATGAGCCCCATATTGTACCTTCTGCAGTAACCCAGGGCACTGCAGGACTAGTCTAAATTCATGCAAGGCTGGGATAATGACTGAGAATTTGGGAGAACCTCGTTTGGATCCATTGCTTAATAACCAGCAAAACCTCTCCAGCTCTGCTGTGCTTGTTCTGCCCGACGTCCTTACACAAGTGCTGTTGGCAGGATTGCCATCTGCCAGAAGAGAGAAGGAGGCTCAGGGCGTTCAGGTCTTATTCCCTGGCCCCCACATTTGGATTAATTTAAACTCTGGACATGCAGCAGTGATGAACAATTCCCTGCTGATCTTCCCATTTGCTGCTGTCCCTGCTCGACGCTCAGCTCCGCTCATGCAGATGTTCTTGAATATTAGCAGTGACAACGCTGCTTGGCAAGCGGGTCCCACAGGCATGAGCAGAAGTTTCTGTGTGCTGAATGCCATTAAGTGAGATTAAAAGCACATCCACTCTCCAGCCTTGCTTGACCCGAATGACCAGTTTGAGTCATTGGAAATTTCATACACGGTAAGCTCAGCAGGGACCTGAGCAGACACAAGGTGACAGCCACCCCTTTAGAGATCCCCTGCTCACTCAACCTCCTTTCTCTTTTGCCCAACCCCAGAGAAATTCTCCTCCAGAGAAGGAGAATCAAAGTAAAACTCGTATGTTAAGAAAGAACAGTTCAATAACTGAAAATTAGCAAAATATAGTAATAATGGTAAAAAATATAGAAATTTTAAAAGGGAAAAACAAGTGATGGACAATACAAGTGCTCATCACCCTCTGACTGATGGCAGACTCCCCCCTTATGGGTAAGTCCCCCCCAGTTATATACTGGGCGTGGCATTCTGTGGTGTGGAATATCCCTGGTGAGTCCAGGTTCTCTGTCCTAGCTGTGCTCTCCCTGCCCTGTTTCTTTTGTATCCCTTCTCGCTGGCAGTACATGAGACAACAGAAAAATGTCCTTGACTTAGGGTAAACACGACATAGCAGAAAAACAACATCGGTGTGTTACCAACACCGCGACGATTCTGAATCCAAAACACAGCATGGCAACAGCTACCAAAAAGAAATAAACTCAGAAATGAGCACAGCTGAAAATCAGGACACGGGGTACTGGCATGGCACATGCTGCTGGGGGCAGCTGCAGCCGGCGGGAGAAGAGCCGAGTTGACTCCCTGAAACACCTTTTTGTGGGCAGCGTGAGGGAGCACCAGCAGCTGCAGGCAGTTCTGTGGCTGCAGCAACCACACAGCTGCAGGGACAGCGAAATCATCCCTCCCCACTGCCACAGGAGGGGCCCAGGGCACCCAGCTCGGGTGCAGACACAGCTGTAGGTAGAGCAGCTGAACCTCAGCCCTGGAACCAGACCAGCAACAGTGGGGGTTTATTAGCTGAGGACAGGAGTACCCAGCTTTACATGGCCATTTTTCAACCACTCTGTTAGAAATAATTTGGGACGCTGATCTTTAAAAAACTTTCTCAACGTCTATGTTCATGGACATTCCCTATTAAAAAAAACCAAAACATCTGGACTGCTTTGTGCCAGCAACATCTGCACCTTGCTGAGAATACGAAAAAAGAGGATTGCTCTCCGAAATGCCAGCAGTGCTTCCCTCCTACTGCTGCTGGTTACAGATGGGGAGGTGAATCCCAGCTGTTAGCTCCCAGGTTAAAGTGTGGGCTGCAGGGAAACAAAACTTCAGCATTTTATCTGTGTGTCCAGCTGCTACCACATTGGCAATACTGCCATCACACAACCAAAATGTTCTTAAAAAGGTCCTCAAAGGTCTTTGGATCCCTTCTGCCTGAGGTGGAAGGTGATGAATGCAGCTCTAGTGGATTAAAATGCCCAGCAGCCATGTGCATCCTCAACATCCCACCCACTCCTGCAGAACACACTGGCAGGGTTGCCAGCATTTGCTGGCGGCCAAAAAAAGCTCCCTCAAGCCACCAGCCCTGGCCACAGGCACTTGGCTGTGATCTTTGCACAACAGCTTCCTGCTGCAGGTTCAACCAAAAGACAGCAAGACACAGGGACTGCAAACCAGCAATATTGTGCTCTTGTGAATGGATTTGGTACTGTTTAGGGCAAAAACTTCCAGGCTTGGCTAAGGTTTTTTCCTCCTACAAAGACATTTATCCCTGAGCTAATGAACGTGTCGTTTAACTGCTGCTCTCCCACTGCCAGCTACAGGGACACAGAGAGTTCCTGGTCCAGAGCAAAGCGTCTCAGCTTACAATGGCAGCGACACCCCAGAGAAATGGCTACAGACCTAAAGCACATATGGAGGTTCACAGGAGCAGAGAGGCATCCTGTCTGCTCCAAGCGAGCAGCAGAGTATGAGGAAGCAGAAGTATCTTGATGTGGATAGTATTGCTTTTTAATGAAAGCATCCTCCCTGTACCGCTGCCCACTGCCAGGATTGAAGTGGGCAGACCTGTGCCAGCCCAACAGCCAGAGACTTGCTTAGGGAAGTAAGCAAATTACAGTTTTTCCATTTTTTCCAAATTAAAATAAAAATTTAAAAATCAGTCTTATTTTATTTGGTAACAACTATGTCCTGTGCTTATTGTAACTGCCTTCTGGCTGTGAGCTAAACTGAGTTAAAAAATAAATTCACAAAAAAAGCCCCCAACACCAATCAGATCCAACTGCGTTTCCTACACACTTTCATTTAGAATCTTCCTTTTGCAGGTTCTCCCTCCTTGTGCCAAAGCTGAGGGCTGCACAAGGCTCAAAGACCATCACCCACTTGGGCTCTGGCATCCACCCCCAGCTCAGTGGGCAAAGCTGGGCACCCCAGAGGGACAGTGGGGACACCAGTGCCTCTCCCAGAACACCAGATGTTCCCTGCATTGCACGAACACCCCCAGGTCTGCACCCTTTCTCCTCAAAGCAGGTGGCCAGGCAGCAAAATGGACATTAATATCAGTCACTGGGGCATGGAAAGTGTTTGGGGTTTTTTGCTTGCTTCCAGAGGGCAAAAATGGAGTAAATTTGTAGGTGGGGTAGCAAAACTGTAAGACAATAAGCAGACATTGAGGGCAAAAAGTTAAGGAGACCATGGGACATGTGCGGAGCAAAGCAGCTGCTTCCCTCAGCCCCAAGGCATCACTCCTTTAACCACAGAAGCATGAAACTAGAAAGGCAGGTTTTTCACTTGTAAACAAATCAACCTCCTGTTAGCATCCAGCTCATAGTGGGTGCAGGAGTGGCCTCCTGGCCCCACAGAGCCTGAGACCCCAGCCAGCACAAGGGAGGTTTCTACCCAGCTGCTTAACCTGCTCCATGAGGCTCAGGGAAAATGCAATTTGGATCCTTCCCAAATCCAGTGAAGGTATCTTTCCAGGAATGCGAGATGCAAGCCTGATAAGCAAGTTTTAAAACAAGACTGGGTTAAGTGTTAAAGCTGTCCTTCAGTTCTGGCTGTATTTTAAGCAGCACCAGGCTAATTTGTTATCATGGGGGATTTTATCAATTTAATAACTCCAAAGCTGTTGTCTGAAGTATGAAGACTTTCCTTTCCAAACCACTTCAGCTTTTCAGCCCAGAAAAGAAACAGCTGCTTGAGATGAAGATGGGTCAGAAGAGGAATTACGCTATGAGGAAATACGCAGACTTCCTTCCCAACGCAGAGCTGCGTCATGGACTGTGGACAAGCGCATTTACCAGCACGGGCCTCCCCTTCACAGCATGCAGCAATTCCCACCTCTCCCTCACCCCGACTGCACAGCAGGCAGCTAGCACAGCAGTGCAGCTGCAACAGCTTGGCACTGCCGCAGTCCTTCCCTGCCACACCCTCCCTGGTGCATCTGACAGACGTGATGCTGCAGAGCAGCAAGGCTTATCCTCTTCCCTGAGAAACTGAATGCAGCAGTGCATTTTTGGGAAGTGCAGCTCACTGAAGACACAAACAAAATCCTGCATCTCCAGAGCCTTTGAACTGACACTTCCTTACAGCAGGCTGAAAGGAGCCTTCCCACCAGAGGCTGTGCCATGCAGAAAAGCACACCTGCTTGGAGCACAGAACTCCCTAGTTAGGAATGTTTGCACACAGCAATTAAATACCCCAATGAGCCTGGAGTACAGACAGGATGACACACAATTTACCATTCAACCAAGCAGCAAGGCTGTGTTCATCGTGCTTTGAAGCACCTGCTTTTCAAAGCAGCTCCCCATCTATACACAGGTGCCACGTGGCAATTTGCTCCAGGCTGGTGCCCAGGGCTCCCAGCCTTGGCAGGACCAGGCAGCACGGGGAGGAGTCATTTCCACTCCCACATATCAGCTCCAGAATTTTAAACACTGAGTCACAGGAAGTGGGAGCCAGGGCTATGAGGGGCAGCACAGGCATACCAGCACTGCCCTGCCCACACTAACTTCACTCAGCTGAGGACTGCTTCCTCTCCCTCTCTTTTAATGCTGCCATTTTTAATGAAGAACATCAGGAAAGGGAAGATAACATCCTCACCTGGCCCCATTAAACACATCCTCTGCAAGAAAAGCACAAGCTGCCTCAGTGACTTTATCTACTAGGTTTGAAATTGCCTCCCAGCCTCAATGGATGAAGCAAGCTACACCAAAATTGTACCTCATCCAGCACAGCTGACCCAAAATCCTTTATTGAATAAGCTTAAAAAAACAAAAAAAAATTAAAAAACCCTTATATAAAGTTCCCACAGAACTATAATAGGGTGTATTTAACCAGACAGGAGCCTGGGAGATAACTAGGGCAGGTTCCACTCCCTCCTCCAGTCTCCCACTCCTCCCAGCCTTCTGCCACATCTATCTCACCCCTGCAGAACCCCCCACCACCTCCACCCTCCAGCACCAGGGGCCAAAAATTGACACAAGACAGCAAAGATGTGAAAACTCCAAAAGAGATAAACAGTTAGCAACTGGGCCGTGCCCTCCCCTTTCAGGCACCTTAACCTCCTATGCCTCTGCCATCACTGCAGCAGGAAAAAAGTTAATGATTAGCAGGCCAAGGCAACATCCCTGGTCAGGAACAGGGTCAGCAGCAACAGACATCCCCTTGCTCCAGGTAGGGCTCTGAAGGAATTTGTGTTCCTTTATTCAATCCAAACTGTCACTGGGTCAGACAGGCAGAAAGCGCAAGGAACCCGTTACTGTTGCATCTCAAAAGAGAACCCGAGAAGCAACAGTGTTTGCTCCAGGTCTGTCAAACAGATGCAGTCCCTAACAAGAAATACAGCAGGAACCTAAGTTACCAAGACTCAGTGAAGTCCCAAGTACAAGCATTCACCTGGTTTGGAGGAAGTCTAGGGCAGGGCTAGGCCATTCCAACATCGCTCTCCAAGGAGGCAAGTACAGAAAAAGCCCAAGTCCTGCAACTCGACTGAATTCTAGTTCATATCATCTAGTCTCCCCCAACAGCTGTCAAATACCAAGTACCACAGCCAAGCTATGTCAGAAAACTGAGCCATTTCACCTTCTCTCCCCAGTATTCCCATTCAGCCTCCTGCCTTGATCCTGGAGACGTAATACTACAGCTCAGGAGAGGCACAAGTACTCTTGTCTGACACAGCAGCTCAGCCAGCACTCAGCTTGAGTAGCACATATTCCATTCCGGGATGTTTTTATTATTATCTCTGGAAGAGGTAAGTCTCTGCACAATCACAAAAGATGAAGGTGGTCCACTCCATTATGACATTTCTTGGACTTTGCCTTATTGATCTCAACTTGCTTTTGCACTCCAGTGCTACAGGCAAACTGTGAAATCTGTCTGGAAACAGTCCAATTGTAGTGCTCTAACACCAGCTGTGCTACTGACAGCATCCAATCCATGGTGCAACCTCTCCTTCAAGTCACCTTGAGAGACACATCAGACCAAAAGACATCAGCTAGAATGGGTTTAAATGAGTTTTATTTTAGACAACCTACATGATAGATGTTTTTTCGTTTTTTTTTAAACAATGCCTCCACTCCAAATCAGGGTCAAAATAAGTGAATAAAGCTCAAGATGACATCAGTCCCGTTAGACATTGCTGATTCCTGGTGTTGTGCCGATGAAGAAGAAACAGCAGCCAGCTATGAAGACAAGTGATCCAAAACCATACTGTTTGATTTGTTACTGAAACAAGAGTAGCAAGTGTTAGTTAAAGGTCATGACAGCATCAGCAAGTTTCTGTAACTTGTTTGTGTATTCCCTAATTCAATCTGGGCTGCCACAGTCAGGCAGGCAGAAAGCGCAAGGAAGTTATTTTTGCATCTTAGTGCAAACCAGGGAGCAACAGGAAAAGTGCTCGTGGTCTATCAGAGGATGCTGATCGTTTTTACAATTGTACAGAGCAACTGGCACCCACCAGCTGCTGAGCAAACCAGGCTGAACACACTTTCACATCCTTCCTGCTTGACACACCAAGGTTCAGATTTCCTATCAAGCACATCCTAAATAAGTACCAGAGCTTACAATGTACCTGGCTGTCTCTGAAAACAGCTGCACCAAGAAGCTGAAGCAGGTTTTAGTACACATGGAAACACCTTGCTACTGTTCCTCTATTCCACCTTTAAGCAGGTGGTTATCCAAACAACACATCTAAAATGTGTGCCCCCATAGAGGGATGTCTCCCCACAGAGGAGATGCACAGAAGCTTCTGCTCCCAGGAGGTGCCTTCCAGGTGACCACCTGTTCCAGGGCCAGAACAGACACCACCCCTTCCATCAGAGTGCGGGAGGTGCTGTGTCTGTGGCCAACTGACGTATTCCCTTCACTGGGCTACTGCTCCACACCAGAACGTGGCTCATCTTTACATGACTTGCATACCAGAAAGCCTGTGAGAGGCTTTAGATAAATTTAGCTGTCTATATACAGACTTCACAAGTCCACAATGGGCAAAGCAACTGTTGATCCCACATTGCAGTGAATTCCACAGGTCTCCAAGCAAGCCAAAAACCCACAAGTGTTGAGATACAAATACTGTCTTGTGGTAACCACATTCCAATAGAGTGGATAAAGCAGACCACAGGTGCTCAGGTAGTTGGAAATTCCAGACAGAAAAAGGTTAAGTACCTGGCCAAGTAATACTGTGTTCCCAAATTCAGGGCAATATTTAAACTGACAGTTCTTGTATAAGGGCATCAGATTAAGTGAAAAAACACGGAACATGACTACACAAGGTACTTCACAATTAACCTCCAGAAAAGGGATCCAAAACAGAAGTGCTCCATTTCAGAGGACCTGCTCTTTAATCTAATGGTTTAAACCCATTCCCAGTTACACACTTTTCACCAGGGCCATCCCTTCTGCATTTCTTGGCCATTAAGTCACCATGAATCACAGCAGTGATATACTACAAGTTTTTAGCACAACTGAACAGTACTCAAAAGTTTCAGGCACTTTGTATACGAAAGCACCAATCAGGCTGTACTTACACAATACTTAAAAGTTTTCAAACTGGCAGCTACTATTCAACTTCAACAGGGGTACAGGAAAACAAGACATGAAGGAGCTCACCATGTACTTGGGCACATTAACCCAGTTCAGTACTTACACATTTCTCGATTTCTAAGCCGTCCTTAAAGAAAATCATATATGGGGTCACACCGTCCTCACGGAAATCCAGGAGAGCCACCATTCCATCTGGATTCATGTTCTCCCCTACAAAGAACTTCAGAGGAATGTGTCTAAGACATTTAATTGGCTAATGCCAGGAGAAAATGTCTTTTTATACAACACCTTTGTATAAACAATGCAACACCACCAAGCTCAGTTTAAAAGTCTCCCTGACCAGCCACAGGGATTTTCCTTCTCTGCAGCTTGTCCATCTTAGTGCCACCATGGCTGACACAAGAGAAGAAAGGGATGCCATCCAGAGGGACCCTGACAGGCTGGAGAGGTGGGTCCATGGGAACCTTGTGAAGTTCAACAGGCCAAGTGCAATGCCCTATACCCGGGTCAGGGCAACCCCAAGCACAGATATATGCGGGGCTTGGGAACGGATTGACAGCAGCTCTCAGCAGAAAGACTTGGGGCGTTGGATGGATGACAAATAAGTCCTTGCAACCCAGCACTGTGAGCTTGCAGCCCAGAAACCCAAACATCAAAAGAGGAGTGACCAACAGGTCAAGGGACATGACTTTGTTCCTCTGCTCTGCTGAGACCTCACCTGGAGGTGGGATCCCAACACAAGAAGGATATGGACCTGCTGGACCAAGCCCAGGTAGGCCACTGAGATGGTCAGAGGCCTGGAGCACCTCTCCTGTGAGGAGAGGAAACTGGGGCTGTTCACCCCCAGAGGCTCCAGGGAGACCTTACAGCATCCAGTATGTAAAGGGAGCTACAAAAAGTCTGGAGAGGGACTTTGACAGGGGCACATTGCAATAGGACAACAGGGAATGACTTTGAAACTCCAAAGAGGACAGATTTAGATTACATATTAGGAAGACATTATTTACTGTGGTGCTGATGAGACACTGGCACAGACTGACCAGGGAAGCTGTGGATGCCCCATCTCTGGAAGTGTTTGAAGCCAGGCTGGATGGGGCTCTGAGCAACCGGGTCTAGTGGAAGGTGTCCCTGCCCACGGCAGGGAATTGGAACCGATGACGCTTTTCAACCCAAAGCCTTCTGTGATTCAGCAATTTTACCACGCTGCTATGAACAGAGCAAGAGACAGCAAGGGCCAAAGTGATCAAAGACTAACTGCACAGTCCCTGAACCACCATAACAACAAGTGTAGGTAACTACAAGCATTACCAGCTGGAATGATCTAACAGTCTTTGGCTGTTTCTCCTCCCTGACTCTCAGGCCCCTAGTACTCTCAGAGATGGTCAGGTTATAGCAGCCTCACAACAGGATTCCTCAAAATTCTCAACAAGCTGTTCAGCAGATGAACCAATCACAGCTTATCAATACTGCTGTAAGGAGACATAACTTACCTGGTAGTTTTTGAAGTTGGCAAGGATGTGTTTGATTTGTTCTGCAGCCCCAGTCATGAAAGGCTTTACTCTCTCTGGCTTGTGTTCCTCAAGTCTGGCTTTGATTCTGGAAGGAGAAAGAAAAAATCCTCTGAAAACATGTTCCACCTTAGTACCTTCACTGTCTGGCAGGATATCACAACAGAAAGAGTCCACCCAGCTACCTGTCAAACTTAGATTTTGCTGCCTTTCCACCCACTTCCTCTCAAAGCCCCCAAATTTTAATTTAGTTTTTCAAGTGAAATCACAGAACAATACCTGCCACTCATACCAAGGTCATTTTACAACCAGGCTAGTAACAGGCAAAAATCAGCAAGCTCTTTCCACAGCACCAGGAGTGTCACCCACCATGTCACAAAGCTTTTTCACTTTCAATATTAACCCCACTGAACATCAAACAACAGCTATGACACCATGAACTAGCAAAAAGACCCATTCATACACTTTTTTTAGCTGTTTACATTGTCACTCTAGAACAGCATCAGAAGTTTTTCTTTACCACTTCGGTCCCTTCTACATGAAGGTCTGGCATGAAGAAATAGAAAATAGCAAGGCTACAAATAAGATCCAAAGCACATGATCAGGTCCTCCACCTCAGCCAAAATAAACATAGATATTCCAGCCCCCATTCTTTAGAGCTCCAGTTCTGCCAAGCACTAAGACATTACTGAAGTTCACAGCCAGTTTCACACCTGTATCAGAATGAACACCTAACAGGAATAAATCTAATGCTGTTTTTACAATCTCAAGCACACAAAACCACTGCAATCCAACTGAAAGGAAAAGCCTACCAACACTTACGCTTTCATGTAATCCTTGATGTACTTCTTGTAGGATTCTTTTGTGAAGCTGGTCTCCTGAAGGTGGTGGTTAATTACTATGTCAACACCAGTTATGACCGTGGCTTCTGTTCCATCTCCCTCTGGACCTTCAGCAGAGGCATTGCCACCAATTAGAGAGTCATCAATTTGACCCTCTGTCCTGGTGACCATCTAGATTTAGAGACATCAAAAAACTTAACGGCTCTGCAAAAAACCTTAGTGCTACCGCTCTTACACACCTATGACCTGACAGCAGGGCACAACTCGAGAGATACAGTTCAGTGCAAGGAACCTGGCTGCAGCTGGAGCACTAATTTCCCAGTGACAGGAAAAGGGGGAATGGATTCAAATTGAAACACAGTAGCTTTAGATTACATATTAAGAAGGAACTCTTTACGTGGGAGGCACTGGCAAAGGTTGACCAGAAAAGCTATGGATGCCTCATCTCTGGAAGTGCTCAAGGCCAGGCCGGATGGGGCTTTGAGCAACGTGCTCTAGTGGAAGGTGTCGCTGCCCACGGCAGGGAGGTTAGAACTACATGATCTTCAAGGTCCATCCCAACCCAAAGCATTCTGTGGTTCTATGACTCCCAAGCACGACTCGCCCACGGTGCGCAACCGAAGCTCCATTACACTCCAGCCTGGCTGACCTGGGCTCTCTCAGGCACCATCTACGGCAGCACGGGGCACCGGGCCAAGGTGAGTCTTGCCTTCTCTCTTTCCCGGCTCGGTCCCTTCGCAGGGACGCCACCCCCACTCCCCACCGGCCGTGAGTCACCGCGGCAACCCTTCCTCCCTCCCTGCTTCGGGGCGGGCGGGCACTCACCTTCCCCTCCACTTCCAGGCACAGGCCGTCCGCCACCTCCCGGATCTTGTAGATGTCCGAGAACATCTCATCCTCTGCGGGGGACAGACAAGCACACATACACACCCAGCCGGTCAGCCTCCGCCTCCCGGCGCCCACCACTTTCCCCCATCGCTCCCGCCCCCGGGCTCCGCGCCCCCCCCGCCCGGCCCAGCCCCGCACATGCGCGGCGGCACCGCCGGGCCCAGCGCTCGGGCCCGGGCCGCGCTTCCCCCCCCCCGCGGGGCTCCCGCAGCGCGTGCCGGGGCAGCGGCAGCGCCTCAGGGAGCGGCCAGCGCGCGGGGGCCGCCCCTCCGTCTCCTCCGGGATCAACACACCAAGAGACCTCACACGGCTTCCCCTCAAGGCCCTTCGCCATCCTCGTTGCCCTCCTTTGGACGCTCTAACAGCTCCATGTCTTCCTCGTCTCCTTGTGGCGCCCAGAACTGCCCCCTCACCTCGAGGAGAGGCAGCCCCAGCTCAAAGCAGAGCGGGACAATCCCTTCCCTGGCCCGGCTGGGGATGCTGTGCCTGATACACTCCAGGACAGGGTTGGCCCTCCTGGCTGCCAGGGCACTGCTCGGATTCAGTTTGCAAAACGGGCAGCAGGATTTCATCCTTCCCGAGTCAGAGGGAAGGGACCTCTGGAGAGCAAGCAGTCCTGCCGTGCGCCCGAGCAGGGCTGGTGCCTCTCCCTCATTGCCTGTGGTTGCATTTTTTTGTTTCAACACCAATTTTCCTCTTTCCCCCAATCTTTTAAGCTCTCGGTAACATTTTTCTTTTTGTCTAACTTCTTATGAGGTGTCTGGGATGTGTGATCACTGGCTCTTTTCTCATTACTCAGAGTCACCGAGCTGGGATGATCACATTTTCACTTTCTTTTTGCTGCAAGATGGTACAGCTTTGGGGCACATCTATCCATCTTGTCTTTTTCCTCTCTCTTTTTTTTTTTCTTTTTTTTTTTTTTTTTGTTTGTTTGTTTGGTTTTTTTTTGGGTTTTTTGTTTTTAATGTATATCCACTCTCTTTTCCTTGTGTTGTATTAGGAAGCATCTTTGCACCCACGTTTTCCAGACTAGCCTCCAGTTTAACGCAGGCAGCCTGGTAAATCCACGCACTGACTTTCCAAGGAGAAGTGTGCCCAGCTTTTCCCAAGCACCCCGGGGAAGCACTGCTGCCCGTGTCCCGCCACAGCCAGGGTGTCCCCTCCATGGGCAGCCTGACGGGGTGTGTCTGTGTGAGCTGTCCTGGTCACTTCCAGCTGCTGCCTCCTCACCGTGATGCCCACTTCCAGCTGCTGAGGGACTCTGGACCTTGCAAGGGCTGTGACACAGGGACACAGAAAGTCATTCGCCCTGCTGGGTGTACATGGACATACATTTGCTCCCCCTGGTGCTGGACCTCCTCCAAATAAGTGATGTTTTCAAAACATTTATAGGGAAATAATTAGGAAGCTGTTGGACTCTTCCTGTTATTACTCCCTCAGGGAAATTGAGTTGGGTATGTTCAGGGGCGCTGCTTATGCACTTGCGAAAGTGCTGGCTGGGGCAGGTATATTTTTCTTATTTTTCTAAGGATAAGTGAGATTTAGCCCAGTAGTCAAGGTCGAGATGAAAGATGGAAGAGCAGTTATGCCTAGACCTCTTTTTCCCCCTTTGGACATACTTTTCTGCAGCAGCCTGTCACACCTGAAAGAAATCTAGACCTCACTTGAACTCTGATTCTTAAGAGACATTGATAAAATACCTTCAAAAGACATCATGGGACCTGAAGCGCTTAATGCTGCTAATGATCCTGGACTTGGCAGAGACATCAGGGCACAGGACACAATTCCCTGTCCCTCACCTTCCTTAGGCAGTGAATTGCTCATTGCTTTCTTTGTGTGTGCCAGTGGAGCTCCCTTTTTATCTCCTCCTTCCCTGCTCTTCCTTCCTTTGCTCCAGATATCAGTGCCCTTTTTTTTTTTTTTTTTTTTAAGATGGTCTAGCTTCTCACATAATCTAATTAAATGTATAAGTTGTTCTCTGCTGGTTTTCACCTTCAAGACTGCTGCTATTTCAGGCCTGAAGAAGGGGCTTCTTCCCAAAAGCTTTTCCTGTTTCTTTTTCAATGGCAGCTGGCCTGATAAAAGATAGCCCCTCTTTTTACAAACCACAGTAAAAAAAGAGCAACTTACATCTTTAGCAGTGTGTTGAGTGATGGGAACATTTGGCTCCTTCTATGTAGTGTAATATGCAGCTAAAAACATCCAGTTAGTAGGTGTGCTTCAATTTGGTTTTACTTTCAAGAGACTGTTCTAGAAAAATGGATATTTCTGAGTCCAGAAACCTCTTACAAATTCATCAGTTGACTCAACTTGCTGGAGTCAGGGTAGAAAGCCTTTAGCACAGTGTGAAGGTAGATGGACCTTCAGGTTGCTTTGCCTTGCCTGTAGGTCTGTGTTAAGAGTTGCAGGTGTAAAATGTGAGATGTCATTTAAAAATGCATCTGTTAAATGGGTCAAGGCTCCTGTGTGAATGCCAGTTTGATGTGGAGTTAAGTTAAATCAGTATCAAGCTGAAGTTAGCAGTGTTTTAATTGGCATAGGCTACACTGAGGTACCAGTGCTGAAATTTTCCTGTGATCCCGTATTAACACAGAATTATCTTATGTGCTGATACTTTGTGAAATACATTTGAAAATGCTTCCCCCCCCCCCCCCCCCCCCTTTTCTTTTTCCAGAAACCAATGACATTTGAGAAAACCTTAGTGTTCCCTCACCTGCTTTCTGTCCAGGCAGCCTCTCCAAGCACTTCTCACATCCAGCCAGAGCTGGATTCACATTTCAGTGAATCCACTGTATCCCTCCCTGCACCTTTTCAGTTGCCGATTGACAACCAAAATGATGCGAGAAGCTTTCCTGATAGTGCACCTCACCTTTGGTGTTGTGTAAATCCCGAAGGATTGATGGAATCCTGTGGGTTTATAGAGGAGTCTTCTAACAGCATCTGAGGAGGATTTTCTAGGCAGCTGTCTGCAGAGTGTCACAGGAAGCCTTTCTCATGGAAAGCCACACCTCAGACAGTTGTGAATTACTGCAGTATTGCTTCCATCAAGTATTAGCGTCTGGATATGGCTGTGCTCAACTAATTGTGTCTTGGATTAAAGTGCCAGATGACAGATGATACTACACCATTCTGTCCCTAAATAAACAGCACATTTTCAGTCCATTGTGGCAACTCCCACTGAGCTGTAAGAAAAGGGAGGGGATCCTGCCTTCAGCTGTTTCCTGCAGGGTGCAATCAGTGGAAATAAAGCCGAGGTGAGTCTGGAGGAAGAGAGGTGATACTGGGCTATGACATAAGGGATGGCACCAGTCTAACCTTTCTAAAAGGCTGTGGAAGTCACATAAGAGTGGTGATGTTTTACATCATTTGCTGGGTGTAGGGGAGAGGACCCTAAGTATATATCTTCTGATAGAAAGAAACTGGAAAAATGAGGATTAAAGGGCTGAGCAAGCCCTGGTGTTGCAGAGAGGCTGGCAGGACAGTCTGTGCCCAGTGTCCCCTTCCCCAGTGCATCTCCCAGCACAAAGGCTTTGGGGGAGGATGGACGTGATCAGCTCATATCTTCACAAATCTGTCTGGAATGTAGGACTGTATCAAAGAGCTGTGACTTTGTAGACCCTGTTTCAACACACACAGGTGGAAACCGCAGCTTTTAACTGGTTTCCTTCAAGTCCTTTCCCCGGAGCATTTCCAGCCAATAAAGATTTGATCACTATTTGTTATCACTTCTTATTAATTGGGAATTGATCTTAAAAAGCCGGAGCATCAGTTTGATTCTTTCAGGTGAGTTTATGTTATGAATATTGTCAGTCTTCCAGTGCTTAGCAATCCTTCGACTGTTTTGGATCTCGAGCCAAAATTCATAATTTAGATTTACATTGGCAGTGTACTAAGCCAGAATCCCAGATTCCAAGATTAATATTTGAAAGAGTTGAGCTTTGATCTTTAGTATAGTTTATCAGCTCAGATCTATTCACAAATGATAGACCATATTAGACTGGACTAGATAGATTAAGGTATCCCAGACAAAGGCATCACTTTTTAGAATGCAAGGAAGGTCTTCGGTTGAGCAACAACCCCTCTTGCACTCAGAGCAATTGCAGGTGTTCTTACCTGGGCATTTTCAGTACTTACTGTTCCTCGCGCTGGCTGCTGCGCTTCTGCGAGCAGACGCAGAGGTCACTGCGCAGCCACAAACCCTTTTATCTGTGGCACTGCTTGCACCAGGCCAGCTCACCCAGACCCTGCCCCGGGCCAGGGCTGTGAGGCTGTCAGCCGGCACTGCAACTGCTGCGTTCTTCGGAAAAACAGGACTGCCATTCCCAAGTTAAGAACTATGAAGCAAGGTGCTGCCCACCTGCAATTTTATATTTACTGACCGTATAAACATCCAGGTGACTGAAAGGGCTGTGGTGGAAATGCCTGCACCTGATCCTCAGGTCTGCTGCCAGTGTGTCCCACTGGTGTGCTCAGTGATGGAATAGAGAGTGCATTCATTAAAGTGGCAGTAACGTTACAATGGGAAGAACCACAAGTGTATTGGAGATTAAGATTGGAATTAAAAAGTGATTTTGACACATTGGACAAGTGGCCTGAATTGTTGGAAGGCATTTGGACAAGGCCAGCCCATCCATGAGCAGTCAAACATTTGCTAAAAGGAAAATCTGCCAAAGGCTTTTGAACACAAAGATGCAGCATAACCTTCAAAAAGCTCTGAGCCACACATTACTGGAAACTGAAAGAGTGCACAGGGGAAGTGCTGCCTTATCCTGGCCCTGGTCCTCTGCTCTGTTGTAGGCTTTTGCTGCTGGCAAATTCCAGGGAATGCTGAGATGATGATGTGCTCTATATGGGTGCTCTGATGTCATGCTTGCGAGTGCAGAGCAGAAATGATCAGCCATGGACACAGGACAGAGAAGGGGGCAGCAGTTCTATGGAAAAGATCTGGGATACTGGTAGATCCAAAGCTGAAACAGAATCATAGAGTCATAGAAACAATTAATTTGAAAAAGGCCTCTGAGATCATTGAGTCCAATCATTAACCCAGCGCTATCAAGTCCACCACTAGTCCATGTCCCTGAGTGCTACATCTGCTT